AATTGCAACAGATCATCCACAGTGGATAATTTACATGTAGATAATTGAGAGTTGGCTGAAGATAGATGTCTCTAATTTTGATGGTGTCTTTGAGAAAATAACACTCCTGATATTTGTCGGGTTGAAGAACCACTAGTTTAATATAATTTCTGCATGCTATCGTATTTTTTCAGTCTATTTCACAGGAAAAGTGTCCATTGTTGTAAGATATATTGTTTAAATGGCTTGATGTATTACTGTCACACTGTTAACCTTCAAATATTGTGAAGACCACTGCCTAAGGGAGACTGAGGTCAAGACATTTTAGTTACTCTTATTTTGGTACTAAAGCTAAGTGAGGAGCTTTTAGTTTGATAGGCAAAACGACAAAAGGGCCAAAACGACACTGGCCCTTTTTTCCTACCGTACATTTTCTCCTTTTGTTCTGTGCTCCTCACTCTGATACCAGTTAAAATATCCTGGATAAAATACAGATGTGTGTGTGTGTATAATATGTATGTACCTATTATATATTTGTCTAAAACATATATATCATATATACTTCATGTATAAAATGGACATAATTTTTTTAATTCTTGCAACAGAGTACCTAAATTGCATGCACAATAATGATTCTGAACCATTGAATAGCTCTTGGAACACCAAACTGTATACCTACATATGATGTCACTCATCTTTATCTTAGCGTGGTAGAAAATTATATTCTGAATAAGCATTTATAATATTAATTCATTTGTTGCCAGGAAGAATTATTAATACCTGGGCTTCATAATTTCTATCATTTTCTTTTATAAACTAAATTAATCATTAATTCAAGCCTTGGGGTCACCTACATCAATCTTATTGTGTTTCATGACACTTTCAAAATAAAGTATTTTGACATTCAGAAAGTACAAGCTTTTAGCAAGATCAAACATACTATTCATTTTTTTATTCAGTAGAAAAATTATATGCAATGCTCTATTTTTTGTTACATGGAAATGTTTTAAAGAGGAAAAATAATATGAATGTATGATGGTGTACAATGAAACACTTGTTGCTCATAAATATTCTCATCTGATAATCGATATTTTTATTCATATTCCTTAAGATTTTTTCATATAAGCTTCTAGAGACTATTTTTTGGTGACCCATCATTTCTTGTTAGAAAGCTCTGGCTAGCTTCCAGCATGTTTCGTTTTGAGAATGTGTGTCTCAGATATGTAGGTTACATTATCACCAACACTGCATTTTGTACATTCAGAACATCAGGGACCGTCTGTGACAACTCATCCTTAGATGTGTGGGACCTTTCTCACTGCTCCATCATCCCCCAAACACATGTGTGGGACCTTTCTCACTGCTCCATCAGCCGTGAATACATGTGTGGGACCTTTCTCACTGCTCCCTCATCCCCTAATCATGTGGGACCTTCTCACCTCCATCTCCCCGAATGTTGGGACCTTTCTCACTGCGCCATCATCCCCAAACACATGTGTGGGACCTTTCTCACTGCTCCATCAGCCGTGAATACATGTGTGGGACCTTTCTCACTGCTCCATCATCCCCCAAACACATGTGTGGGACCTTTCTCACCGCTCCATCATCGCCTGAATACATGTGTGGGACCTTTCTCACCGCTCCATCAGCCCCTGAATACATGTGTGGGACCTTTCTCACCGCTCCATCAGCCCCTGAATACATGTGTGGGACCTTTCTCACTGCTCCATTAGCCGTGAATACATGTGTGGGACCTTTCTCACTACTCCATCATCCCCCGAATAGATGTGTGGGACCTTTCTCACTGCTCCCTCATCCCCTGAATACATGTGTGGGACCTTTCTCACTGCTCCCTCATCCCCTGAATACATGTGTGGGACCTTTCTCACTGCTCCATCAGCCCTGAATACATGTGTGGGACCTTCTCACTGCTCCCTCATCCCCTGAATACATGTGTGGGACCTTTCTCACTGCTCCATCAGCCCTGAATACATGTGTGGGACCTTTCTCACTGCTCCCTCATCCCCTGAATACATGTGTGGGACCTTTCTCACTGCTCCATCAGCCCTGAATACATGTGTGGGACCTTTCTCACTGCTCCCTCATCCCCTGAATACATGTGTGGAACCTTTCTCACCGCTCCATCATTCCCTGAATACATGTGTGGGACCTTTCTCACCGCTCCGTCATCCCCTGAATACATGTGTGGGACCTTTCTCCCCGCTCCGTCATCCCCTGAATACATGTGTGGGACCTTTCTCACCGCTCCGTCATCGCCTGAATACATGTGTGGGACCTTTCTCACCGCTCCATCATCCCCTGAATACATGTGTGGGACCTTTCTCACTGCTCCATCAGCCCTGAATACATGTGTGGGACCTTTCTCACTACTCCATCATCCCCCGAATAGATGTGTGGGACCTTTCCTCTCCTCATCCCCTGATACTGTGGGACCTTTCCACGCTCCATCAGCCCTGCATGTACCTCTCCCCTCATCCCCTGAATACATGTGTGGGACCTTTCTCACTGCTCCATCAGCCCTGAATACATGTGTGGACCTTTCTCACTGCTCCTCATCCCTGAATACATGTGGGACCTTTCTCACTGCTCCATCAGCCCTGAATACATGTGTGGGACCTTTCTCACTGCTCCCTCATCCCCTGAATACATGTGTGGAACCTTTCTCACCGCTCCATCATTCCCTGAATACATGTGTGGGACCTTTCTCACCGCTCCATCATCCCCTGAAACATGTGTGGACCTTTCTCACTGCTCCCATCCCCTGATACATGTGTGAACCTTCTCACCGCTCCTCATTCCCTGAATACATGTGTGGACCTTTCTCACCGCTCCATCATCCCCTGAATACATGTGTGGACCTTTCTCCCCGCTCCATCCCCTGATCTGTGGGACCTTCTCACCGCTCCGTCATCGCCTGAATACATGTGGGACCTTCTCCCGCTCCGTCATCGCCTGAATACATGTGTGGGACCTTTCTCACCGCTCCATCATCCCCTGAATACATGTGTGGGACCTTTCTCACTGCTCCATCAGCCCTGAATACATGTGTGGGACCTTTCTCACCGCTCCATCATCCCCGGAATACATGTGTGGGATCTTTCTCAACGCTCCATCATCCCCCGAATAGATGTGTGGGACCTTTCTCACTGCTCCATCAGCCCCTGAGTACATGTGTGGGACCTTTCTCACTGCTCCATCAGCCCTGAATACATGTGTGGGACCTTTCTCACTGCTCCATCAGCCCTGAATACATGTGTGGGACCTTTCTCACCACTCCATCAGCCCCGGAATAGATGTGTGGGACCTTTCTCACTGCTCCATCATCCCCGGAATACATGTGTGGGATCTTTCTCACTGCTCCATCATCCCCTGAATACATGTGTGGGACCTTTCTCACCGCTCCATCATCGCCTGAATACATGTGTGGGACCTTTCTCACCGCTCCATCATCCCCTGAATACATGTGTGGGACCTTTCTCACTGCTCCATCAGCCCTGAATACATGTGTGGGACCCTTCTCACCACTCCATCATCCCCGAATACATGTGTGGGACCTTTCTCATTGCTCCATCATCCCCTGAATAGATGTGTAGGACCTACCATGTTGCATTTAAGAGTTTCTTAGACTCTATGTTTACCATATTTTGATTGTTCAGTAGCAATATATTTGAGATGTCGTAAGTAGTATTTAAAAAAAAATTTTCTTCTAACTATGAGCTTAGCTCAAAGAGGAATAAATAGTAAGTTATATCTCTGACAGTTTTAAGCAAGAAGAAATAATGATAGAAATTGTCATTTACAAAAGCCCCTCATATGCCAAGTTCTGTGTTAAAATCATCATTTAAATTGTGAATTACTTATTTATTTTCATATATTCCTATCATACAGAAACTGTTGTTGCCCCTGTTTTGGATGTGAGGAATTACAGCATGAAAGGGGTTAAGTAAATTGTCCAAGGCTACATTGGAATAGCAACTGGCAAAGTGAGGATTCCAATATGGGAATTGAATCCATTGTCAGCACTTTAAACAAATAACTGCATTTGACATTGGAAACAATAAAGCTATACTTTATATGGACACTGGCAATTAATTATCCTGTCTCCTGTTTATTCATTGCCTCTTTTCACTAAGAACCTTTCTATCAACCTTAAAGCACACTCTCCAATATTGGAAATGTGCAAAAGCAATGAAAGGACACAACAACAACAAGATTTTTCTTACTCAACTTCTTGCCCCTCCCCTTTATAGCCACACACCTGGAAAGAGCCTCAGTCTTTCTCTCTCCACTTTTTAATATCCGACTCTATTCTTACCTTTATCTAATGTGGCCTTTGTCCTTATTATTTAACCAATATTTTCCTGCTATGTTCAACAATAATCATCTCTCTCCTTATTTCTCAGCAACACTTGTTGTGTAGGTAACACCCTCCTCCCGGAGAACCTCTTTTCTTTACTGACAGCCCATGTACCTAGTTTTTCTCTCCCGTGTCCTCTCTCTTTCAAGGTTAAGCCTGTTCTATTTGTCATCCAGTTCTAGATTTCCTGCAAAGAACTCAAGCTTAAACCTTTTTCCTCACCATTCACCCTCCACTTAGACAAACTTATGTCTAGAGCTCCAGCTGCCACCACACATTTCTCTCTGTAGCCACATTCTACTCTTTCTGATATTCAAGTTCCTACTTGACATCTCCCTTTTATTTCTAAAGGGAGACTCTGACTCATCATATTCCAAACAGATCTCATCATGATCTGCCCTTACAAATGGTTATCACCTTTGATCCTGTGGAATGTACCTGAAGCCCAGCAGTCATTTTTTTTGTTCTTTATAAATGAATTAAGTCAGATAATAGTGAATCCTACTTCTTATTCCCCGACCCCACAGTCAAATGACCATCATTTTTCATATTACCTCAGAATGTGTTTTGAATCTGTCTGCTCTCCATGAATCTAGTTGAAGATGACAATGACGACAATAATGGTGATGATGACAATGATGAGGACGATGCTGATTGCTAACATTTATTGACTTACTGACTACTTAGCATATGTCAGGTGCTGTAACGCTCTTACTCTAATGACTACTTGCCAGAATCCTCACATCAACTCTTGTCATTCCACAATTTGTCCTCTACACTAAAGCCAGAATGATACAGTGGTGAGCAAAGTTGGTATCAAGCTTCTTCTCAGACCCATTTGATGAGTTCCACATCCTATAAGAATAAATACACAGTCTATTAAAAGGCTGGCAAGACTTGGAAGATTTCACCTCTGCCTACTCACTTGAGCCTTAACTCACACTCTCCCCCCACACCTCTCTCTTTGCAATACTTATTATCCCTTTTCTTCTTTTAATTTCCTGAACGTGTTTCACCCTGTGTTTATTGTATTTTTCTTTCTAGAATGTAGAATGATTGTTCCCACTGGTTCAGTTAACTGCTCATCATCTGTGAAATCCCTCTAGTTAGTCACAGAGTCCTCTGTCTACTTTCTACCCCACCCCCCACCCCTATGGCTTGATCTGCTTCTACTGATTTCTTTTTCTCTACACTAGTAACCTCAGTGATTTTAGGAGATGATGTAATTAAATTTTGTCTTCTCTTACTACACTGTAAGAACCACGAGATCCAGTAAACTTTCTTTTTTTCGCTTACCTTTCTCACAGATATCAGGATTCAATACACATCTGATAAATGAATAAATAAAGAAAAAGGAAGAAGTAAAATATACTATTCTGCAAGCCAGCTTGGACCCTTACTTTTGCTTACCATTCCCTCTACATAAAGATCCTGTGAGATATCAAGGCATCAGGTCCTGTAGATTATATGTCTTATTATCTCTTAGATCTGCTCCATTCCATTGTCTTACATTCAAACCCTCATCATATTTATCCAAGTTTCTGCAATAACTAGTATGGCTGCCTTTGAGGTCTGTCTTTGTGTTATCATTGTTATCACAACTGGAGTGATTTTCCTAAATGCAGTCCAGATTTAAAATTGATAAGTGGATTCTATTTCAGTTACCTGTTGCGATGAAGCAGATCTTTCTAAAGCTGAGTGACTTAGGACAAAGATTTATTATTTCTCATTGTTCCCAAGGACTGGCAAAGCTCTTCTGATCATTTCTTGCTTGGGATCCTTTATAGGGTTGCAGTTAGATGTTGACCAGGATTATAGTCATCTGAAGGCTTCAGGAAGCTGTACAACCCAAAGTGGCTCACACATGACTTGCTGCTGTGGCTGGGCGCTTAGCTTAAGCTGTTGACTGAATCCCCTTTTGTGGCCTCTCTACATGGCTCGGGCTCCTCATACCAGAGCTTCTGGGTTCTACGAAGAAGCATACCAACAACTACCTCAAGAGACTGAGGTAGAAGCCCCAAAATTTATTGACAACGCAGCCTTAAAAGGAACATGTTATGGCTGTCACTATATTTTCTTTGGTTACAAGTGAACCATGGATTAGCTTATATTTAATAGAAAGAAACTCTAGAAGAATATTAATACTGAGAGTCATGGTTCTTTTGGGGGCCATCTGCTACAATCCCGTTATTTCACATAATATACATCAATGGCATTCCCTAATCGTGCCTTGGCCTATACCTGTAGTCTTACCTTTGACCCCTATTCCAACCCCATTCATTTATACATACCCTTTGCTGCATGCGTTTAGTTTCCTGAGCATAGTAATAATGTAGTTTTAGGCCACCATCAAACTTTCTCATATGCTCTTCTACAAGATGTTTTGTATTTGTTTTTTATTTGCTAGGTTTTTCTAACTTTATTAATTCTCTAAAATATAAATGTAGAAGCTGTCATCCTTTATGGGAAGCCTCTCTAACAGTCTTCCAGCTGTTTTCTATTCCTGTTGCAACCTGTGAATACTTGTATCATTGGACACTGTAATCATTTAAAATTACTTGAGGGCAGCAACCAGCTATTAGCCAATTTTATATGAAGAAGTCATGGCAGGTGACAGGGCAAGAAATAAATTCTTGCTGAATAACTGGATAAGAAGAAGCACTTATTTTGTTCCTAGACTAGACACACTTTTAGAGCTGCTTCTGGTAGATTTAATTTCTAGTCTTTTGCAGTATATGTATCCCTTCATTTTATGAGCCTATATCCTTTCTGAATGATTCAACAATAAGCTGTGAATTACACATAAAGTACAAGGGAAGCCTGATAACTATCTATAACACACTGCCTTGATTGTCTGACATGAAGGCTGTTCTGTATAATTTTAATAAACATATTTAAAACTGAAGATTGTGATTCTTCACACAGTTTTGTGAAACTGCATGCCATTACATGCAAAATGGAAGTTTTGCATAATTTTCAAAAATTATTAAAGCAAATCTATTTTCAATTTGTGTAATATAATAGCTCTCATCAAATTAATATTGAGTGTCTAAAAGTATAACATTTGTATTAGTCTGTTCTCATGCTGTTATTAAGAATTGCCTAAGACTGAGTAATTCATAAAGGAAAGAGGTTTAATTGACTCACAGTTCCGCAGGGCTGGGAAGGCCTCAGGAAACTTACAATCATAACAGAAGGGGAAGCAAACACATCCTTCGTCACAAGATGGTAGGAAGGAGAAGTGCCAAGCAAAGGGGGAAAAGGCCATCAGATCTCATGAGAACTCATTCACTACCACGAGAAAAGCATGGAGGTAACCTCTCCCATGATTCAATTACCTCCCATCAGGTCCCTCCCATGACATGTGGAGATTATGGGAACTACAATTCAAGATGAGATTTGGGAGGGGACACAGCCAAACCATTTCAACATTTCTCTGTGGTTTGATACTCTGTGTGTGTGTGTGTGTGTGTGTGCACGCGCGCGCGTGTGTGTGCGTGTGTGTGTACGCACGCATGTGTATCACTTCTTCCATAAATCTTTAGCCGCATTTCCTACCATTAAAGTGACAGAAAAAATATACAATATGTATTCAGCAAAAATGAAAATGATTATTTCCTATTTGATTTTTATTGTAATACAGCAATATTTAAAATAATATGTGCTTATATATAAAGTCTCAAATATTTTTGTTTTTAAAATTCAATAGCTTATGAGTTTTTAGTGTAATTTCACTTTTACTAAAGGAAGAAGAATTAAATAGTGAATTTGAAAATAAATAATATTATTCTGAGAAACAGAAGTGCAGATTTGTAAAAGAAATTTGTTACACAAAGGAATGCCGACTACAATTCTCATCCTACTACCTATACATGATACATTAACAAATAAAAATTGGACATAGTGCCTTTCTCCAGCCACGACATTGATTTTAAAAATGGCTCTTAGGTAGCATAAGTCAACTGCTTTAATAACTATTGTTGAAGTGATCTATGCTTATTTCTTTTGAATAAAATTAATCTTTTATTTTTTACCCATTTGAGAGAAAAATTAACTTTAAATGTTTAAATATCACATATTTTGTTATATAATTTCTTTAAAATGTTTCAATTTAATTGGTCTTATATGGAAAAACAAAGATGCTTGAAAGGCATCAGATAAAGTCACAGGTCAGTGTTCAAGCAAAATAGAGCTGGGCTACCCAGTGATTTCCTGTTATTAAGCCGATAAATCAGAGAGCTGTTGATAGATGTGATCATTGGGACAACATGTCAGTCTCATGAAAAAAGTGCTGAACAGACACAGGTCATCAATGCTGTCAGTGTCTTGAAAATGAAAATTTTAAAAAGGTCAAAGGATTGAGAAGACTATCAGTGGTGTTTACGCATCCAAAAATGCAATTTTTATATGATTTAACTTAAAAGAGGGCTCCATAAGGCTTCGTAATGCACAAAGCTGAGGAATTGTCAAAATGAATGCAATTTGTTCTAAAGGAGTACACGTCAACACGCCACATCTATCCAGACTGACTCCCACGGGCACTTAAAGTTCATTCCAGCCTTCCAGTCTTTTTGGGTTGTTGTTGTCTTCTGCATGTAATTCAACGTGTTGTCAGCTCCTCATATTCTATTTCTGCCTGTATCTTCAGGCCTTGTTCAAGTTCTGCCTCTTTTGAGTTTTTACCTGAGTGCCCCAACTCAATAAGCACCTCTTCCTTGAGCCAATAAAACAATGTCTATTTAGTACAATTCATTTTGATGTGTAATGGATTCACACCTACATGATTATTTTATGAATTCTTTTTGCTTTTGACAAGTATGTTCTGAATACCTTCCTCTCAGACTCTTGTAATAAACAAACAGAATAGAATTTCTGTCAGTAAAAGATTTACATTCCAGTGAATGATTTATAAGTTTTGGAGGTCAACATTTCCTTTGAGAGTCTGGCTAGAACAACAGCCACTTTCACCCGAAAAAAAATATATTCACGTAAAACTTACCATGGAAAATCAGGTGAGGTAATCATATAAGGGGATAGAGGTGATGCCTTTCAGGTAACATTTGTAATAATTTTGTAAAAATAGTAACCTCTTTTTCAATTAAAGAATGTTGAATGATATCTAGGGAGATACAACAAACAACACAGGTAAAAGGAAGAAATGTGAAAAAGAATGAGACATTGAAGGAATGTTAAATTTTTTCATGTGGCAAGAGAGCGCTGTGAATGTAGGTTGCAGATACAAGTTAGAACAAAGTGCAGATGGTCATATTTACTTGCTAAAATGTCTAGCCTATTTTTGGAGTAGATGTCTTCCTAAGAAGATTATTATTTTTCCAGACCCTATGGATTTAACCTTGTTTTTCTGTATCTTTAACTAACTTGAAGCATCTCATGTGTAGTGCTTTGCAAATACTAGATATTTAATTGATAATTGACTAAGAAAGAATGGAAGAAAAGAAAGGAAGAAGGTTATAGAGTAAGTTCATCTTCAGAGCTCTGAAAAGGATAAACAAAGACATAATTGAATTATAAATACTATACCAGGTCGATTACATGTAAGTATATATTATTTTAATAGGGTGATTGATTTCATGTCATTTTATAGGATGTGCTTTAAGTGAAAATATTTTTCTTGTAACAGCTATTTAGTTTTGTTAATGCCACTAAAGAGGAAATTATAAATATTGTCACTATACAGTTCTAGATTAATCTTAGATAATGATACATTATTATATACCAGTATTTAGATTATAATTTCCATGAAGACATAGACTATGTCTGTTTTATCCACTTAGCTCCTAGCTAACTTTCTACACATTTTAAATGATAGAATAAGACAGAATAGATCATTTATT